ACTTTGTTCCGCTGGCCTACTTCCTAATGCTGAGATAAGCGGCTCTCACGCAGTCTGGGGAGAACTTTTGGAAGTAGGAGTTTGCCTGTCCCACCAACCATTCGCAGGCAGTAGCGGCCTTCCTGCAGCTGCTCAGGGGCTTACAGCACCACCAGACCTTAGCAGGCAGTTTCTCCGCCCCGAAGGAGCCAGGGCGCCTGTAACTCGCCCTTCTCCCCACAACGAGTCCCTCGAGAGCAACCGCTCCTTTGCTTTGCGCGTGGTAGACGGCTGTTAGCTATTTATGACAATAAGGAGTGTTATTCCGCAAGTTTCTCACGGATCCTGCGGATGAGTAGAAAGAACAAGCACAGCCTACTGCGCTCTGCAGCGGTCCTTGCCCGCGGCGACCCCGCGGCCTCCAGCACGCGGGGACCACCGGCCAGACACGCACAACTGGGCATGCGCCGCGGCCTGGCTGCGCGCTTTACGGCTCTCTTCCCCAACCCGGCCCCCGTCGCGCGGCTGCTGAGGCTCCCTCTATAGCCGGAGAAGAAGGAGCATCTGGGATCGGCGTCCGTGCGTGATGACGTGAAGACGTGTGGACGCAGGCGGTCCACAGAGCGTGAGTTTCCACGTCTGTTTGGCCCCTTTCGCGTAGCTGGTTCTGCGCTGCTTCTCTCCCGTTTTCCCTGAGCCGCGGGCGCTGGCGGCTGGGCGGGGGTTGCGGGGCGGCGGTCGGCGCCTCCCCGGGGGGAGGGGGCTGGCGCGGGGCAGGGTTGGAGGCGCCGCCTCTGGCTCCTGCGCGCTCTTCCCCAGGTCTGAGGGCGGGTCGGATTTTCTTTCCGCGACTGTACCCCGGGTCTCCTGGTCGTTGCCCTCTCTGTGCTAGAGGCCGACCTCACCCGGGACGAAGTTCCCAGACGCTCAGGTTGGGGTTGGGTCTAACGGAGTTCTGCAAGATTCTTTTTGAAAATAGGACGATTACGGCCATGTTGCGTCAGCACAGGGCAGTAACCTGTACCTCTAAACAAGTTGTGGCAAATTGAATCCTAACTTCAGATGTGATATTTAACTTAGGAGAAGGGAAATCCACCTAAGCGGATTTAACCCTCTTCTGCTCAGACCTTAAAAAACCTTTGGATACTTTTTCCAAAAGTGGATCATCACATGCTTATGTTTTTTCCAAACTGAGCATAAACTCTTGAAAACTTAGCTTGTTATCAAAGTGAATTGTTGCATAGTTATGATTCCGTTGTTGAGCTGCGTAGGTCTCTTGCTGTAGTTCAGTGGCACTAAATTTTTTTTTTCTCTTTGAAATTGCATTTAAAAAAGCTTTGAAAGCTCTAGTGTGTCTCCCCGCCCTCTTCCGCTTTTCTAATAAAACATTAAAGGCTTCTGACTTGCTGCTGGTCTGGACTTGGGAAAACAAGTGATCTTTCAAAGTATAGGGATGCATTGGTTCCTGTGTTGTTCCATCCGCATCACCTGGGAACTTGTTGGAAATGCAAATTTTGGCGTCTTATCCCAAATTAGAGATTATTTTAGCAAGCCTTCCGTTTGATTCCCAGTGCATCTGGCGCTAAGGTTTCAGAATGACTGACATTAGTGATAACGCCCATTGTGGAGTCACAGGGGGATTTGAATTAAGTTCAAGTGTAACCTAGATATAGAATCTTGGACAAGTCACTTAAATGTTACTTAATGGGCCATGTGAAAACGAACAAAAGCATTTATCACCAATTCATAAAATTCTCACCAAAGGTGAGATATTGTTATTACGTTAGGACTACCTGAAATTAGTATGAGAATTGTGTTGGAAGGATTCTTTGTTGGGTTAAATAAGAATTGTGCATTAGAGGAGTGTGAGCAGGGCTTAGAGGGTATTTATTCTGTTAAATTGTAAGTAGTCAAGATTGTTGATGCAGGGTATTCTGTTAAAAGAGCAGTTGTTCTAATACTAACGCTATTAAGGTTGTAGTATTGTTGTAGAATCAGTAATTATGTTGCGATGTGTTTTAATGTTTTGTTATTTCTGGTTTCGTGGACTTAGTTGCAGTTAGTTATGTTCTTTTGACCCAAAACTTGGAAGAGACTAGAGGTAAATACTTCCTTTAGAGTTGAAAAGCATTATAGAGTAGTGATTAGTATAAAACAAAACAAAAACAAAACAAAAAACCAAGACTAATGAAAATCTGTCCATGTCTTTTGTTCCTGTATGTCATGCAGCTCCCCTATAGCAAATAGGCCTCATATCTACTTTCCATACTTCCATTTTGTGGAAGGATCACAGGAGTTAAGCTAGATGTACCTTCATCCTGCTGTTTTTTTTTTTTTTTTTTTTTCAGATTGTCAGATGCAGTGTTTTCTTATACCTATTCCTTTCCTTTTTCAAGTCGCCATTGTAGGGTGAGAAAAAGAAATATTTGGTATCTGAAGCTACTGCCCTAAAGCCTTAGCTCATTGCAGTGTTGAGAAGGTTCAGTGTCAAACCATGGCCTATGCAATATAATGCTTTGATTAGAGAACACTGTGTATTGTGGGTGAGAGTTTTCAGATAAACATGTCACTTTGGATATCAGATTCTTAAGTAATTTTGTTGACCCTCCCATCGACAAATTGATACTACCCCATCATGAAACATTTGTTTTTCAAAGGCCCCAGATAATTTCTTATTCTCCATATGAGAGAGGCAAATGTGTAGCAATGGTTTGGGGTCACACAAACCCTGCTTTGGTTTGGGGTCACACAAACCGTGCTTTGAATCCTGCCCCTACTATGTACTGATTGTATCTATTAAGACAAATTGACATCATTCCAGCATTACTTTTTTATTCTATAAAATAGAAGTCATAGGGTGCCTATTCAGCTCATTGAATTAAATGAAATAATATGTAAAACATGTCTACTATATGTTAGTAATATACAGGCTCAGGAGTGTTTCCTTTTGGACAGATGAAAAAAGGGTATTTATTGCCTCAAATCTAACCTTGGTCCATTCATTTTTTAATATTCTTATATATGAAGTATTTTTTTTAACCTAAGTGCACTACTTTTTAAGTAATAAGATGCTGAAGTAGAGTCAAAACCTTCATATAATCATGAAAAAGAAACACTTGGAGGAAGTTAAAACTCTAATTTAGAGGTTGAAAAAATCTTCATTTTTATCATAACAGCAACTTCTAGAAATTGTTTTGGTGTATACTGAAGGTCAATGCATGGTTAATATTTTAGTATCTTTAGTGATTCTTCTATCGCTGATTTCAGTGGTAATAGTCAAGTATAGTAGGGGAATATATCTGTTATAGAAGATGACACCTCATTGAAAAAATACACCAAAACATAAGGAAATGCTGTTAGTCCTGAAAGAATTAATATTTTTCAATATGGATGCTTAGAAATAGCAACTGAAACAGTTTGTGTTCCATTTTTTTTTTGATGAATTTCAATAGCTTTAATTATTTTTTAAAAAATTTTAATTAGTTACACATGACAGTACAATGATCTTGACACATTATACATTTGAATCAGATGGGGTATAATTTCTCATTTTTTTGAGTGTACAGGTTGCAGAATCACATTGGTCATATTTTTTTTAAGAAGTAATAAAAACACGTTTTATATTTCTATATATTGTTAGGTATATATGGGCATGGAAAATACTTGAGAATGAATCTAGCTTATAATTTAATTTACTTGATAGTGTATTGTAACATGGAGATGGGGAACAAATGTAAAAATAAATAATTTATATCATTGTAATATGGAGGTGGGGTTAAGTACAAAACAAAATAATATATTTACAGGAGGTTAAGTATGTGTGTGTATATGTAAAAATTATTTTAAAGAACATTAAAATAGACTTACTTAAAAAGATTTATTTCCTTTAATGCTGTAGTTATGTCCTCTAAACAGAGAACAATGTCTGACCTGAAAAGTTTAGAAAATTAGAGGCTTTGAGATCAGTGAGGTAAAGAGCTCTTGATTCTGGGTACCCACCTTTAGAGGAATATCCAGGGAAGCTAGTATTCTCAAGAACTAGGCAGGAAACTACTGGAGGGTTAGAAAAATCTCAGGACATGAACTATACCTAAAAATTAATGACATTAAGAATTCTGGTGAATGGGATTCACAAACTTGCATTGATGACAGTTCCCAGTTTTCAGCAGTGTCAGCTTATGTATAGCTTCTCCTTCAGCATTGTGAGTAGTTTTTTTCCCCCCAATGTAGCTTTTGATTTGACCCATATTTTACAACCATGGGATTCTGTGCGTATTTTTGAGAAATGAAGATTTTTTTAAAAAAAGAATCTCAAGTTGTGACAGCTGTATCACTATTAAAAGCTATTTAGTATTTTAAGCAACTGCCGTTTAGCATTACAAATGACTCAGGGAAAAGGGGGGAGTCAAAGAAAATATACAGTATTATTTGTGTTTACTATCTACCATATTTTGTTGTAAAGGCAGCTGTCCTGCATTTATATGATCAAGTGTTTTTTTTATGGTTAATAATGAGCTTTCATAAGAAAAATAATTTCAGATGCTAAGTGTTAGATTGTTATTAATAGTGGTAATAGTAATAGTACATTGTCTTTTTTCACAGGTTGGGGAGGGTTTCCTGGTGACAGCTGGAGTATGGGGGAGGGGGAGTCACTTTCAATCAGCCAGCTGCTCTGTGTAGCATCATGATGGATAATTTGGGCTGTATTCAGAAAAGAATATGTATCCTATTTCTGGGATGCAATAGATAGTGTGCAAGAGTCCTTTGGGATCTAGATGATAGCCAGCTAACAGTGTATGCATTCAGGTTTGCGTGTTGGTGTTATTTACCATCTAGTTTCTTGGACATTGTTACATGCACATCATAATTACAAAGCAATAAAGTCTAGTTCCACTGGGGGAGAGGCTCATTACTTTATGGAGAGGAAAGGAAGATGAAACACAAAATTTAGTAGTGTACTTTCATGTAATACGCTATTTCATTTATTCTTCACAATGACTCTAGGAAGTAAGTGGAATTTTTCTCATTGGGATAGAAAAACAGAAGCTCAGAACGATTGATTACGTGATTTGCCCATGGCCACCTACTAGTAAGTGACAATATGTGTATTTGACCCTAGTTCTTGTGGTTTTAGTTCCAGGAATGTTGTCATTACACCAACAGCTATTTCTTCATTGTGCTAACTTGCTTATGCATTTTTAATCCAAAGCCACAGCATCAGGATAGTAATGAATGAAATTTATATACATAATACAGTGCCTTCAAGTTTATATAAATAATAAATAGGAGTGTGTGTTTTGGCAGCTATGTATAATTTGGGTTTTTTTCCCTTGGGAGAAAAAGTCTCATAGGCAACAATGAAAGAAATTTTGTCACCCTTTTAATGTTACTAGTACCAGCAATTATTATAATGTTGTTTGTTATAATGAATCAGTTGTGATTCTAAATTTGAACAAATTTAGAAATGTTGTGCATCTTGCCCATATTACTCTTCCTTCGTACCAGTATATTAAAGGATATTTTTTTCTTTCGAGGAATGTTAATTTTGTGTTAATAGGGAACCTTTTAGTTTTCAAAATTACTATGTACCACATAATAACTGAAAAAGAAATTCTTTCATTTTCATGAAATGAAAATTTTCGTTTTCATTACTGTTTTTCGTGATGGGTTTTCAAGAGTCATTTCATCTTCTTCCTCATTGCCCATATGATAATATCTAGTATTTCCTTTTCTCTCTTCCTTATGTCATATATAAAACTTTTGAAACTTATTTTTATTGTTTTCTGAACACTCCATGCACCTTTACATACTTTTTTTGGGGGAGGGGTTATTGTTATTTTTAGTACTGGGAACTGAACCCAGGGGCACTTTACCACTGAACAATATCTCCAGCTCTTGTAATTTTTTTTTTTTTTTTTTTGAGACAGGGTCTTGCTAAGTTGTTTAGGGCTTTGCTTAGTTGCTGCTGTGGCTGGCCTTGAACTTGCAGTCCTCCTGCCTCAGCCTCCTTAACTACTGGGATTACAGGAATGTGCCCCCATACCTGGTTTACATAAAGTTTTTTTGTTGTTGCCATTTTTTATTTGTTCTAATTAGTTATACATATCAGTAGGATGCATATTGACATATTGTACACAAATGGAGCACAATTTCTCATTCCTCTGGCTGTACATGGTGCAGAATCACTCTAGTAGTGTAATCATACATGTGTATAGGGTAATATATCTGTCTCATTCTGCTGCCTTTCCCGTCCTCACAGTCCCACCCCATTTCTCCCTCCCCGCTACATAAACCACAGTTCCTTCATTCTTTTCTGTCCCTGCCCCACTATGGATCAGCATCTGCTTATCAGAGAAAACATTCAGCGTTTGGTTTTTTGGGATTGGCTTATTTCAGTTAGCGTGATATTCTCTAGTTCCATTCATTTAACTGCAAATGCCATAATTTCCTTCTTATTTAAGGCTGAGTAATATTTCATTATGTATATGTACCACATTTTCTTTATTCATTCATCTGTTGAAGGACATCTAGGTTGGTTCCATAGTTTAGCTATTGTGAATTGAGCTGCTATAAACATTGATGTGGCTGTGTCAGTGTACTATGCTGATTTTAAGTCCTTTGGATATAAATCAAGGAGTGAGATAGTTGGGTCAAATGGTGGTTCCATTTCAAGTTTTCTAAGATATCTCCATACTGCTTCCATAGTGGTTGTACCAATTTGCAATGTATGAGTGTACCTTTTCCCACACATCCTCACCAACACTTATGATTGCTTGTATTCTTGATAATTGCCATTCTGACTGGAGTGAGATGAAATCTTAGGATAATTTTGATTTGCATTTCTCTAATTGCTAGAGATGATGAACATTTTTCATGTTTGTTGATCCGTTATATATCTTCTGTGAAGTGTCTGTTCAGTTCCTTAGCTCATTTATTGATTGGGTTATTTATTTTTTTGGTGTTAAGTTTTTTGAATTCTTTATATGTCCTGGACATCATGCTCTTAATTTAGTTCTTCATCATATGATAATGTTGCTGTTTGTATCTTTGCTTCTCTCTCTAAGCTGTGGTTTCCTAAAAGAACAGCCCTTGTCTCTATAGGCAGATGTTCAAATAGTTGTTAAATGAAGGGATATAGATGGAGAGATACAAAATCATGTGCTTATTGCTATAGTTTTACATTTATTGGTTTTCTTTTCTGGGTTCATGTTTGGAGAAATGTGATGATATGTATTTGTTAAAGAATTGTATGATAGTAAAAAAGTGAAGGAGTAAATCTCTTTGTAGAAAACCATGTAGTACCCTTTCATGTTTCTTCCTGAAGGTCATGATATTGAAAAGATTGAAGAAGCTTTGTATTCAGTTTTTTTTTTGTGGGGGGAGTAGGGGCTGTTGGTCTGTATGATTTGATTGTTCTGAAGTTCTAGGCAGAACCTTTTATTGAGTGATAACATTTTATTAAATGTATATACTAGACTTCTTTTGAATGATGAACAAAGGCAGGAGATCCAGTATTGGGAAAATCAATTCAATAATTAAAAGTATTCTTTAAAAATATCAACTTTGTATAAGTAGAAGACAAATTTTAGATTGTCTGGTTTTCCTTTTGAGACATCATTCCTCATCCAGTGTCCAGGTTTATACATCACCTATTTGACTGAGAGGACTTTGTCTAATTTGTGCAGAAATTGCTCTCGTGCTCACATCATTAGTTCTGTGTATTATTGCTTTCTTTAGGAATAGTATGTTGAGATACAGCTTGTATAACCTCTGCATTTTGGTTTTTCTATGGGCTTTAGTGTTGTACTCAGTAGAAATGGGAGTTGGTGGTGCTTAAATTAGGATCTGTTTATCAGCCCTTTGCAAATGCCATTATTCTGGGTGGGGTTCTTCATTTATAAACAGTAGAAACCAGGTTATCTGAGTTACCAAATAGTTTAGTCACAACAACAAATTATTGGAGTTGTGTGGATCAGCTCAGAGAATCAACAGAAAATCCAGACTCTACCCGCTTGGTAAACATAAGCAGCTAGGTGACCTCTCAAGGTTTGAATAGATTATGTAGGTCTGGAAGGCTCTTCAAGTTAATGTTCTGAGTATCAGCTCCAAAACTGTTGGTCCTAGTTTCTCTATACTAGTTCTAATTGCAGAGAGTTGTTTATTCATTGTCACCTTTGAATCAATATAGGAAAGGCCACCTTTTATTGACAGTCCCCTCTTCTCCTTCAAGACCATATTTAATAGAGGTGGGGAATGGATTCCTGTTACTGGAAGAATAGGGTATTGAAGCTAGGCAGGCAAAAATTCCTAACCTGTCCCCTATCACCAAGTGATTTGTGGATGTCCTATGCGTTTTGGGAACATAACACGTCTTTGAAGTCTCACATGCTCTCCCCACTTCTTGACTCGTTCTTGTGCAGAGAAGATTTCAGTCACATAAATAATTCAAAAACAGTTCTTACACAGGGATTAAATGAGGGATGGTGGTGGTGGTGGTGGTGGTGTCGTCAATGTCTATCGCTTTTCATGGACTTTAGGTAGACAAAGAAATATTATGTGGAGCAAACATGAAAATAAAATTCCTTAAATCTTCTTGAAGAGAGTGATCATGGGATACTGGCATTGTGGCTCCCCATGTGACTCCTAGTTTAAAAACCTTGGTCTGAAGGGCTGTCAGTTGGGAGAACTTTAATGAGCTCTCATTACACTAAAACTTGTGGTCTAAAAGAGAAGGAACTGGCTTATGATTGATATTGGAAATCATAAGTGGTGATGGGTCAGAATTGGACTTGGCACTAATTCACCTAGCTGTGGAGCAAAATTCAGAATTATATACCAAATCTAGTAGTTTCATTTTTTTCAGTCACTTTTTATGTGTAAATGTAGTCTAATAATTTCTGTTAAGACTATAACACTTAAAAGGAGGGAAAGTAAAAATTATGCCAGCTGACATATTGAGATTTTTTTAAAATCTCAAAACAGTGGAGGCTCATTAAATTCTCAAATCATCAGATAATCTTGATAGAAACTCTTATTTGAGATTTTATTATAAAATTTATTTTAATTAAAACCTTTTTCTTTCATGTTTCTTGAACGTACTCTGTTTTATGGTTTTAAATGTAAATGTATAACTGAATCACTCAAGTTTAAAAATATAGGATTATAGAAAGTCTTAGAAAATAATTGGTACTCTTGTAAAAAATGCTTCAAAACTTTAAAACTTTTTATCTTCAGTTTTATTTGTTTAAATGCATAAAACACTATTATTGTCCAATTTATGGTTATATTTATGAAATTTCATTTAATACCAAATGACCCTGTCTTTTCTCTTCTTATAGGGTAGAAACTGCAGTTAATTGTCCTAAGGTCACATGGCTAGTTTGTTTTGAGCTTTAACAAGGGCCATGCCCTTAATTATACTGTCCAGTACTGCATACATTATATCGTAGCCTTGTATATAATTTTGACAAAAGGCATTGGGACATTTCTTTTCCCAGAGCCTATTTATTTACCCCCAGTTCCCTGACAACTTCTTTATGTTCAGAAACTGTTAGAATGTGTTGTATTACCCATCATCTTGTACCTCTGTTTGTTGTGAATGTGGCAGTAGCTCGTATAGTACAGCAGCGTGCACTGTGAAGCCTTTTGTCCTTTATGTCTTAGAGCAGGCTGACAGCTTTCATGCTGAATTCAGCAAGAGTACTTTTCATTTAACAAACTAAATGTTGTTTTCTAGGCGAAAAATAATTGAATGCTTTTAAAGATGTATTTGATTAACAGGAGGCTGAGCTCTGTAAATTAATTATAACTGTAATGATGTCATAGCCCTGTCTTTTGTTATTAACCAGGTAATTGACCAGAAGTTTAGAAGCTTATTGTAACTGACAGTAGTTTGACCTTGTATGCTGTTTGGAAGTGAAACATGCACAATGAATGTAAATGCAGTTTGTTCATTGAGCTGCATGTGTTGTCAGAGCATCTGATCTGAGGTTCTTATTTTTATTCTTCTATTATTTCTTTGTTGAAATTGGTGGTTAGGGTTATATCCTTGAACCGAGTATTATACTTATTTCTCTTACTAAAACCATC